CAAGTTCGATCAGAATCCCATTTTCTAGAATAAAATAAAAGATCCTTATTTCTTTATTTAGCTGATTACTTTCTTGAAACAGCTGACAAAATAAATAAAAATTATAGAAACAAAAATACACATAAAAAGCTACACTGTTTGGTCGATCTGTCACTGTTCCAAGAAAAGCCCTAATTTCTTTCTCCTACTCCCCGTAGACCATCACCAATGATACATTTGAGTATCATTAAATAAACAAATATTAAAATACACATTTTCTTTTACTTTTACCCAACTTTATACTTTCTCTTTTATCCTTTTACTCAACTTTTATTAATTTTATACTCTCTTTAAATATTAAATTATTAAAAACACACTCAAACACACTCTTTTTAATATCAAAAATATCAACTCATTGATACACTCTCTCCAAAAATACCTACTATTTCTTCTCTTTACTCAAATTTTATTAATTTTATATTTCAATATATTCCATTATTTCAACCAAAAATACTCTCTTTCTTCTTTTTACTCAAATTTTAATAATTTTATATTTAATGATATCCACAAAAGATCATCGATAATKATGCTCTTAAAAGCGGTAACTTTTTTTGTGATCCAACGGCTGTGATTAATCTTACCACATCCGATTGGACCGTTAGATCTGGTTGTGTTTTATAACGTTACACATAGTTGGTTGACGTGTCTTCTGATTAAGCTGAATATTTTTACTGGCTATTACGTGGCTACTTTTTTGCCACGTGTTGTGGAGAATTTGAATCCAAGAGTTCTCTAATGACAATAATGGGCTTGTAGTTTAGTGATATTACAAAAGTGCCAGACATTAGCATGTGTGAGTCGCGTGAGCTATGGGATTTGGCCCCACTTACTTGCGTCCATAAGGTAAAGAAAGACTATTAATTGGTTTTTTATGGAATATCTCTACCTAATTAATTGGTTTTTTTCAAGAGTTGCTACTTTTGCATGCAAATATAGCTGTTAAATTATTATTTTAGATGGTGTTTCACGTGATACGATTCATTATTCCCGTCGTATTTAACTAAAAAAAATGAAGAAACAAATGTGATTAGTATTTTTAACTGAATATATAACAACATGTTAACAATTCAGAATTAGAATGGTAAACTCTTGGATCGCCAAAACAAGACTACGTTCTGTGGATAATTTTAGTTTATGATGACAAGTATCAGTTTCGTTAAGGGGGATGATAAAAACGCAGCATGAATATGAATTTAATTTGATCAATGCTATCGGAATGATAATTTGAATTTAATTCGGCCATGTGATGTCTCTTTTACACATACACTCATTATTTTCAGATCATTAAAGTGTGTAGCATCGTTTATTTTGTTTATTTAAATCAGTTATAGATAATGTAAAAAATATTTACATCATTTTTATGAGTGACTCTAAAAATGGTGATGCAAAATATTTAACATCAGTTAAAAAAACCGATACAAATATTTTCACCAGTTATAATTATCGATGTTAATTTTTGCATCAACTAATATAAATGATGTTAATATTTATTTCAGTTATAACAATTGATGCTAAGTATTTGGATCAGTTTTTAAYCRGATGTTATAATTTCATTAATCATAAATACAACTGTTAAAGTATCACAATTGTGTAAAAATCAATATTCATTTTATAAATTATTTTAATTAAAAATCACTRAAAWYTTCAAAAATCTACCAAGGGCACGTAAACCAAACTAAAAAACRTWCAAAGAAATCTAAGTCAATCTCTAATTATAGAATTTTTATTTTAGTTTGCCATTAAATTGAATATAAGTGTAGATTATATATACAACTGTTTTCTCTTCGCCTCTTTTATTGATTGTCGATGTAGGACATTCGTGAAAAGGTAATTAAAACAGTATTAATTAATTAAAAGTTATTGGCATCAGTTTTATCTTGATATAAAAWTTGTATCTTTTATTTAAGTGATATWYATAAAATTTAGTAGTTGCATCAGTTATTTAACTAATGTGAATTCATACTTTTGCATCAATTTTTTTAAAAGTGATGCAAATTAATACAAATTTGTATCATCTTTGATTAATCGATACTAATCAAAGCAAAAACAATATCATTTATTATAATTGATGGTAAACAACAAATTTTATATTATTTGTTAATAAATAATTTTAATTAGTGTCATTTCGTTTTTTATACTATTTAAGTGATGTAATATACTCTCTTTTTTTGTAGTGTATTGATTTTTGAACTATCTTGCATATAGGGTCTAAATGGTAACTGCTGAATTTCTGCGGAATTGCAAAATTTGCTGAACTTTTAGTGATTTCTTACATAATTTACTGAATAATGTCAAACTTAAATGGAAACTACAGAATTTACGAAACTTGGTGAATCTGCTGAATTTTTGAAAAAGTAATTAATTAAATAAAGAAAAATTTCAAAAAATGTCATTTTTCAAACATGCCACATTTTCAAAAAATTTGTAAAAATGCTACTTTTCAACAAAAAAAAAATTAATTATATCATTTATGTTCAAGTTAACTATGTTTTATTAGGGTTTAGTTTTGAGGGTTTAAAGGAGTTTTCGAGGTCAAAACATTTTTTAGGGATTATAATTTTAAGATTTAATCTTTAAAAATCCATAATTAGTGGCATTTTTGTAAATGAATACTCCTAAGTATTACAATATTATTTTATAATTATCAAGCAAATTTTAGAATTATTACAATATTATTTTAGAATTATCAAGCAAATTTAGTAAGATTTAATCACACTACATATATATTTAGGGGACAATTAT